GAATCTACTTTTTACTTTTTCTATTACACAAAAAAACACTTATTTTACCAAACACTACCAACTTTTATTACTAATCACCTTTTTTTTAATTATCAAAAAGTGCTTTTATTTAAGCACAAGTAGTTGCAAACAAAGCCTAAGTATTGAATTTGTCAATGTTGGAATTATTTCTTGATTATATTGGAATTCAATATGTTTCTTGAATGGCGACAACAAGGAAACAAGAGGCGTCGCAATGTTTAGCCCTTAATTTTTCATTCTTCATCACCAAGTTTATACTTATCAGTCCACATTAAGCCTGAGGTTAGCAAACATTCGTGAATTTCGATGTTCAGTGATTACTCCTATTCAATTTAGTGCTACTGACAATGAAAAGTTAAAAATCCTATGCTTCATGAATTCGGCTTTTATTAATAATCAATATAATTTAGAGTATGAATCAAAAGACAAAAATATAATTTTTCATTCTTCATCACCAAGTTTATACTTATCAGTCCACATTAAGCCTGAGGTTAGCAAACATTCGTGAATTTCGATGTTCAGTGATTACTCCTATTCAATTTAGTGCTACTGATAATGAAAAGTTAAAAATCCTATGCTTCATGAATTCGGCTTTTATTAATAACCAATATAATTCAGAGTATGAGTCAAAAGACAAAAAGAAATCTGATAACCGTTATCCCACGAACTAGACTCGGAATTAATCGTTGTAGCAATATTCCTCTCATCCTCCATATCCAAAATCAACGTTTTACAAACAGGAACAATAAAGGCAAAACAAATAACAAAACAGGCATAAAAATCACTGGAAAAACAAACAAAAGAAATAAGATAAGTCTTCTTCAAAACCCTAGGTTTACTTGCACTCCATGGCGGCGGCTCAGGAGGGGGACGCGCCCGTCGCTCATCCGCCACAACCTCAACATCAACTTCATCTAGATCCAGTTCTTCTTCCTCTGCTCCAATCGCCATCTTCTTGTATTTGTCCACGAAGCTATCCATGTAAAACTGATGCTCTAACCTTCTGCCAGAAACTCCGAACTTGCTCATCGTCGAGACCGAACACCTCGGGCACAAATAAAGCAACCAACGAATGCCTTGCTCGAATCAACCAAGACAGATCCCAAAACGATCAGGTCAATTCCCAAAACAGAAACAAAAAACGATCTGTTATGCCGAGATCAGCAACTAACAGACGAAAAATCCAACCTCGCACCACGACCGAAAGATCGTGGCCGGACAAACGCCAAGGAGGCGGCTCTTTTTAGGATTCTTTAAAATGCCAAACAGAATTTAATACTCCGTACCTCAATTTCGAAAAGAAAAAAACGTTTCTGGTTTTTAATTTTCAATCTAAAATGGGTGTCATGACTCATGAGTGTCAATATTCCAAAACATCATGTTTGTGTTACAAAGTACCCTTGACTCTCAATATCCAAATGATGATATGAGAGATCTAGCTCGCATTTGGGTAATGTGATTGCAAATTTGTGCTTTATGTTATGAATGAATTAATAACCCATAATCAAACTGTAACCATTATCTTTGCATAACATACATAAAGTACATATATTGATGTGTAGTCATAGTAAATGGATCAACAAGCTCTACTAAATTAAGTGGCAGGAGACCGTTTTGTCACGCCCCGGACCACATCCGTGCCACGTAGACAAACATGCGTTTATTCATTTCTCAGGGTTCAATACACAATTTGATAAAGTACAATTACTTGGGGGCAGTGTTACATGTTTAGTGGGAAAGTCAATATCCAGTTCTCGAGAATTTTATCCATATCACTAAATTGCACAAATGCCGCTAACAAAGTTGCCTTTCCCCACATATTTGGTCCAAGAAGATGGAAAAAGACCGTCTTATCAAGCCTTTTTCATTTATATATAACTGAATTTTAAATCATTTTGAATAATAATTTTTAGTCTATTCGCTCAATTGAATAATAATTTTTAGTCTATTAGCTCTATTGGTAGAGCTGAATTTTTAGTCTATTAGCTCAATTGGTAGACCGTCTTATTAAGATAACTTAATTCATATTAAAATTGAAAACCAGATACAAAGCCACCAAATTAAAGGTTACACTGGGATGAGACACAGAGTTGAAAGATCGCTTAAAGGCGATCCAACTCACTAACCCCACAAGATGGTAGACTCCACCAGAAACAATGTTGCATCTGCTACTAGAATGAACGATAAATGTTACTAAAGTGTCATGGGAAAGAGAATAAAAATAAGCATGTCGAGTTCCATTTTTTCCAGCCACTTACAAGGAAAGTGCGGGTTGACAAGCCCCCGCCAAAGGAACTAGTGGTAGCTTCCCTCCTCCCTGTCCATCTTCCTCATCACACAGATCCACAATCACTGCAACTTACAAGTTTTTGGATCCACGTCATCAACATTCATGGTAGCTTGGGTGCCTTCTTCACTAACCATTTCAATGACGCTCCTTGATTCTTCCTGCCGAAAAGCCACTTCCTTGCCCTTCGAGATCAAGGCTTCAACCATAACCCTGTCGGAGGTACAAGCTCTCCCCATCCTCCCGCCTATCACTAGGCCTATTGCCACTAGGGATCAACCACCTGTTTCCTGAATGCACACCTCCTCATCTCGTATCAACACGTAGTCATGACCCATATGGTTTCTCTGTAATTCAAGGAGCATTGAGTGAATTAGAAGGACAAAAGAGGTCTCAGTGGCTAAGTATCCCACACAAGCAGCATAAATTTGGTATAATCTTTCATACCGAAAATCCGCCGATATCCAATTGTCTCCTTCTTGTCGTATCTCAGTCTGTTGAAACATTTGTCCCACACCGGAAAGCTATAAAACAATTAAACACTATATAAGGCTTTGGGCTACTCCTCCTATCAGGTTGACCTTTTAGGATGGAACCTCATGTCTTAACATGGTATCAGAGCCAATTCCGGTTGTGGTTTAACAGCTTGTTTGGCACCCATGATTAAGGGTAGCTTGTTAAGAGTTTGTTTGGCCCGTTTATACACCCCGATATTGTCCAGCCCGGTTCGGGCTGAGGGGGCGTGTTGAAACATTTGTCCCACACCGGAAAACTATAAAACAATTAAACACTATATAAGGCTTTGAACTACTCCTCCTATCAGGTTGACCTTTTAGTAGAATGGAATCCCATGTCTTAACACAGTCAAAGCCACATTTATGTTAATAGTAACCCAAAATCAATCTATGTTTTCTTCTGAGAAAACGTGGACAAAAGTCTCAATGGTGTTGCCAATCCTACGGTGAAAATTCCACATGAGCAAACAATAATTAATAATGCGTTAACTGTTGGTCAACAAGTAAGACCCACTACCGCACTACTCACATACCAAAATTGCTACTGGCTCACAAAACACAGTACACAATACCTTGGAAGAGGCTAAGTAAAAAATAGAAGAAGCAGGTCGAGTAATTTTAAGGAGCCACATGTTACTCAGTCACATGGGCTATTGTGGCACCATCCCCACCATACATTATTTTAGTGGAGACCATAAAATAATGTATGGTGGGGATGGTGCCACAATAGCCCATGTGACTCCATAAGAGAGTCACATATGACTCCTTAAATTTTTTGGAGGCAGGTCTATAATACTCTTTGCCCGCCTTTGGTAGCTGTTTTAAAAAGGTATGGGAAGACACCGATCCTAGCTAGCTTGTAACCATTTCTATAATGAGTAGAAGTAACTCAGTACCTTTAATCTGAATATATACCAACTCCGATTTGTACGTTTTCGGTGATGATCCTAGTATTAAAATCAAAACCCTAGCGCTAAATCCAACGGATTATTTTTTATCACGTATTAGGGCTGCATAAGAATAACCCGAACCCGCATAACCCGCCCGAACCGACCCTACCCGATCACTTTTAATCGGGTATTTGATTTTTAAAAATATTCACGGGTTAAATATGTACGAACCCGCAGTTAATGGGTAGGGTTGCGGAATTAAACTCTCAAACCCAATAGAACCCGACCCGGCCGAAAGTACAATATATTATTATGCTAAAAAATTTAGTTGGATAATTTTTATTTAGAACCAGTGTGCTCTATCTAAGATTATGATTTTTAGCATTATAAACACTTAACATTTTGGCTAGGTGATTAGTATGTATACACACACACACACACACACACACTTGCTTCTAAATTAATTTCCTTTACGCAAGAATGTTTTGATACTATTGCCCTAAGTTCATTCTTATAAAAAGTACTTGTATTGCCCTAAATTTATTTGTGTATTTTCGGAACAAGTTAATCGAGATTCATATTTCATGCATTAGTTGTCCATATTAAAGATTCAACCCGAAATAAATTCCTTTCAATACCCGACCCTACCCGACCCGTTCATGCATGGTTTACCAAGTTATATTTCATACCGCGGGTTGGTAAATAGCCAACCCGAATAAATAGGGTAGGCCCAAAAAATATAGCGAACCCGACCCAACCCGCCCGATGTGCAGCCCTATCACGTATGGCACAGATCCATGTATAAGCCCTTTTGTCTCTAGACACCAAACCATGACAAAAGTTTATGGAAATAATTGTTGCCAAAATGCTGTGCTCTCATCCTGTTTTGCAGTTCCCCGATAGTTTCAAAACATGAAGCTACGTTTCCCTTCATTGAATATTATAAGGGAAAAGTTAACTTTATCCTCAAATAAACTTAAACTTTATTTCAGGATGATAGTACAAAGCTTCATTTCATATCAATTGACTTTTGTCTTGTATTCTATAAAAAAATAATATCAAGCAATTTCATTTCAACTTGCTCTATTTAGGCAACAATTTATTAATTTGGACATGAGGGTTTAACTAGTAATGCATTTTTCTCAGTGAGCACAACGCAGAGAAGTTTCTTTTTAGCAGTTTCTACAATAATCGAGAGTACTACTAGTGTTTTTCGGAATCGGAAACGAGGTAGAGAGGTTTAAGGGAAAATTGGGGTTTATCACACGTTTTAGGTACCCTGTGTGAGGCGTAGCAATGAAAATCCACTTGTTTGCTTATAAGTTTTATGTTAATACACGTTTTGCTAGCTATTGAGAACGTCTACTTATCATCTGATTTGATTAATGCAACCAAAATGCACTAATGCTGGGGTTGAGCACATATGCATTTCTTAAGAAACTAATAATGTAGGAATTCAGGAAACACTTGCTGGGACAGCCAATCGAGTTCTTTTTTAACCGTCTAAATCCTTTCGAACACAATTCATTCAGTTTAAGAGAAGAACTTGTAGCTCTTGGCCTCCAACACTATAGCTCTTAGTGCTCCAATAGGCGCCAAAATCATTAAAGCTACTCCAAGTATAATGCAAATCTGAAACCACAGGTAAAGTTAGACCACATGATCACAAGTGGCCTGGTATAACTTGATGGATGAGACATAGCTAAGGGAGGTAACATGCATACCCAGTTGATGAACCAAGAGAGACTGAACTTCTTTGGTCTGTAGATAATAAGCCACATGATGCAAGGGAGCTGCAATTATTTAGACGATACTCATGTTTGTATCTGCTATGTGTATATGTGTGCATACAAGTGCAAATAGATTTGTTTGTTTTTGCTTACAAAGTATGTTGTTGGGGCGAAAGCAAATCCTCCAAAGAATCCAAGAAGCCCTCCAAAGAAAGGGATGCAAATAGCAATGAACATGGTGAGTGCTGCAATCAATCATCATCATCATCATTACCCCAGTGCCGCAAAGGTTCCCACCTACGGTGGGGTAAGGGGGGTCGGTGTACGCAGTCTTACCCCTGTACTGAAGCACAGAGAGACTGTTTCCGGATGACTCATAGTGAAAATCACGTCAAAAATTGCATGAACCGACTGCTGCTTCATAACAAAGAAGCGCATACAGTTTAGTGAACCATTTTACTTTATTCCATCATATTCCAAAACCAAAAATAGTGAGTCTTTGGCTCCATTGCAAATGATGGAAAATGAGTGCTGCAATCAATATCATAGAAATATGGTATATATGGTCATACATCAGCGATTTTAGGGCATTGGTTATAGTTACTGAATTGGTACTCTTCTGGTACTCTTCTAGCATGTCTGGTGGAGTAGAATTATGAAGAAAGAAACAAAGGAAGCAAAAAAAAACAGATGGGGGGGGGGATTTTATCTTGTTTAGCATAGGAAAGAGAGTCAAACTTGATCTTTCTCCCCTCGGACATGCAAAGCATTTGTTTCACGTTTTCTTTTCTAAATTCCACCTCCAAACAGCACATAATGTGATTGAAATACCATATATACTGTGTATCTCACATCTTTCTTCTTTCCCTCTTCTTCTCAACCACACATTGCACTCAAGATGTGCAGAATATCATATATACAACATGCAATAGAATCTAAGGCCGGAAGGGTTCATTCAGTCACTTACCCACATAAGTGTTCCTAACAATGAAGCGCAGGTACCAACTCGGCCGAAACATTAGTTTCTTGACAAGGAATGTCTCTACCATGTCAAAAATTGGCATTGCATATATCTATACAGACAAAATCAAATCAAATGACATACTTGCAGTTAGATAGATAAAAACGTTTGGGCGTCTCACCTGATAGCTACCAATCACATGCACCACGACAAACATATTAGCCACTGCTATGAGCCAAGTAGGTTTCTCGAGGGAGATGAGAATATTGTCCTCCACTGCATTTCCAAACATCCAATACCCTATAAGAGCAACCGGGAAGTAGCAAATAGCAACAACTAGGTACGCTACTAGAACTCCCCTCCACATAGGACCCTTGGAAGGCTTCCCGGGGGTCGAAGGGATGGTGGCCTGAATCTCCAGCACGACATTGTGGCCTGCATATGCAAATGCCACATCTCCCAAGGCACTGAAGAAGCTGAAAACTGACCCTGATGCGGTAGTAGCTACAGAGCCATAACTGACATCTGGTTGCACGCCTTTGCTGACGGCAGTCCCCCAGGCAATAGTAGAGTAACTATTAGACCAGAAATTTAATTAGACATGTAAAAGATATTTGATCGCATACGTACAAAATAAAGTTCCCGAGTATTTTCCCGGTTCCAAGAACCGTACATACCCTTATTGTTTTCATGATTTGATGATTACCTACCTCAGTGACATGATGGCTGCAGCTAAAGACACACCCGAAATGGAGTTGAAGTTGGGGAGGTGGGCAAGGACGAAGTGAACAGAGGCAAAAATCATAACGAAGTACGTGAGCTTCATATCTTTGCAGTCTTTACAGACCAAGTCATGCACTTTCTTGAGTGATTTCCCCCCTGTCACCATGTAGACAATGTCCACTCCGACTTCAACCACTACCTGTTGGGGCACTACAATCCAAAGCCCAAGCTTTTCTCCAAAGGCTTGCTGTCCTAACTCATGGTATCTATCAAAGCGCTTCCCAGGTATCATTTCATGCATCTCAACCATCTGCCATAAAGTGTATAGAGTCACTGCCCATGATATGATCAACACAGCCACACCCGGTCCCCTACAGAAAGTGAAGCATGCATGGTTTGGAGTGAAAAGGGTATGTAGAGATAAAGGGAGTCAGGGGGGGGGGGGGGGGGGGGTATTATGTTACCATCCTAGGTGCGACATGGCATAAGGAAGGCTGAGAACACCAGCTCCCACCATAGCTGTGACATTGTGGAATGCACTGTACCACCATTTTGCGTTTCTGGATGAACTAATCGGAAGCCATCGATCGATGTCAATTTCTCGTTTTGACCTTTCATCATCATCACCCTGCACCTGCACAGTTCATGATACGTCTCTGCTACTTCAGATTTCTCACCCTTCCATGCATACCCATCAAAGACTGCTAGCTGAAATTAATAAACTATCTACTCCACTTTATATTTAAACACGTACAGTTTAATAGCTAATCCTCATATTGCTTCTCTCGTCTATTCATTTACCCTTCCCTTTACTTCAATTCTTTTGTTCTCTTTCTGGCCCTAACATTTAGATTAAAGTCACAGTAATAAGTAAGCTAAGGGAAGGGAATACACGCCATTTTCTTTAATTTTAAAAACAACCAATGATTGCAAAATAGAAAAAATGCAGTTTTCTTCATTAATTCTTTTCACTCCCATCTTGGATTATGATTTAGGCAGAAGAACTAATGATATCAAGGTAATGGCAAGAGAATAAGAATACAGTAATGAAGAACCAAACAATTCTTTAGTCTTAGAACAAACACAGAAAGAGACACACCATCATTCCTGCTCTAATTTACAGCTCTGGGAAAGACTAGCGATAAAGAATGAACAGACAAACCAATCTTTCAGTCCTTAAATAAATAAGCACAGGTCTTAGGAATCTTTGGGTGATACGATATATCATAATGAATCCCTTCACCAAAACAGGTATAATAATAAATTCAAAGGAAACTTTAAGTTATTCTTCTGATCTTCTTATTAATATTATTATTATGATTATTATGATTATCTATATATATACATATATATATATATATTCATTTCACACATATAAGTAAACATTTTCAGGCAAGACCACACTTAAACAGATCCGATCAGCTGATATACGTAGTTATAAAATACACAGAGATCAAACATTTACAAAACCAAAGTAGTTTGTATCAAACTTAAACAGAAAATTTCAGTCCAAATAAAAACATTCTTTATTGTTCCATGCTGTTATTACACGAATACATGGCAAATTCTAATATTGGTATTGTAATTAATGCTGACTTGTTCTTAGCACCAAACTCAAGGTTTGCTGAGCTGTCATATTGTTTAAGAATGAGTTGAATTAAGATGTTTTCTTTTGGAATGAGTTGCCGGTCTGGTCTGGTCTAGTCTGAACTGATCTAGTCTGGTATGGTAAATGTCTGGTCTCTGTGCATTTTATAACTACATTTGTTGTCTGGTCTGGTCTAGTCTGATTTGGTCTGATTTGGGACTAAAAACAATCCAAAAGAAAACATCCTTACTAAACAATGGTCATTTACTAGTCCCGCACATGATAAGAGTCACTATATAGAGCTAATGTAATCTTTAAGTAGTACTACATTAGTCCCACTAACACTAGGACAAAATGATTTAAGAAAAGTGAATTGATGCGATTGATATTGGATTGATAAAATAAGAATAAAGTAAAAACGATTTAGAATCATACAAACTATATCAAATTTGGTATGAGACAAATTTAGTAGGATTTCTCGAAAAGATAAAATGGAACAATTTTAAGGAGAAGTACTATTACTGATCTTTGACAATTATTTTTCTAGTTCGTTTTATACTGAGCCAAAATAAAAATCGATAAATGTGAACTGATATGCCCACCTCTAGGTGGAGTAAATAAGTCCATTGAGAAGATTTGTAGAGTGTAAAAGCTGACTAGAGATCTGCTCATCGTTAAAAAAATATGCACTATATTTGTCCAATTGTCCCTTAATTGAGGAAAATTCTTAAATTAAATTCTGTTTTAGAAATTATTAAATGTTATTCATCGAATGTCAACAACGGTTATATTTGTGTGCAAGGAGGTTCCAAAAGTAAGAGTGTTTAATGACAGAATTGAGACATTTTTGGTATTCAATTTCAAAATTTCCCACAATTAATCTCCAAGTATTGTCAACCTAGCAACATGAATGCTTGAACCATTTCAAATCTCATCCCATATGAGAACACATATGAGTGTGTTTATGTGTGAGTGTGTTTACAAAAAAAAGGATATCAATGAAAAATAAGAATAAGTCTAGCCCTTTTAGCACAAAAATGGATGCATAACTTCATTAATTTTTATATAAAATAAAATGCTGGTGTTTGGAATATATTTATTCTTTCCAATTGCATTAGTTATAATAATAGTGTTTATCCATTCAAATTTTTGTACAACTATGAAGAATTCAATTTACAGGACACATCCAAGTACAAGCGAACTGAATAATCCAATTGCAAGCAACATCAATGAAGTTTCATCCACATAAAAGAATGACAAAGAAAGCTTCAACTTAACAGACCAAGGAGTCACCTTCACACCCTCCACCAAAGCTTCCTCCAAGCTTCAACCCATTTTCCTTCCATGTGCGTGTTTTGATAACTCAGTTGTGCTCTACACGATTATATTCAAGTGTAGTTTAAGAATGACATTTACGCACTTTTACATATTTGCACTCCCATGTTTTGCAGGTTTACACAAGCAATTCGTCAAAATAATGCAATTCGTATAGATACATAGACACCATTTTATTTGGTCATTATAAATAATTTTCCTTCAACTAATATATTCAAAAGGTATTAATTCTCATGCACTACTTAACACGTTCATTTGTTAGCTCGCAACTCAATTCTTGATGTTGTAATACCCAAACATGACTTACTATGTCATGAAAGTAAATAAAAGTCAAAGACAATCGTAAACATGTTTTAGTTATGATCAACTTTATGCGATTATGTCAAGAATAATCAATCCATGATCATTAAAAAATCACATTCCAATCATGATAGAGGAGGGAACATTGAAACCAAGAACCTTGTGTTTTCCAATCAAATTTATATTACGTGATACTCAATATTTTGTGGGGCTATAAAATTTGTGCACTACTTCGTAATCATCGGTATATTGTATTGAATATATTTCATTTGGGTGTTGCTCCGCGCACCGGCTATATTACTTAATGTAACTCTCGGTAGACAAATTTAACCTTTTTCAATTTTGATTGAAATTGCCACACAAGTAGTAGAATTTTGGAGCTTCAGAACCTACCCACTGGCATTTTTTTTTAAAATTCCTCTCTATCCATTAGTTTGGTGCCATGTGGCAAATTATTATATTTTATAAAAGCTATAACTTTTTATACCTATATATCATATGGAACGAATGTACTTTAAATGTATATTTTCTTTTTAATAGTCATAAATAATAGATTAACGAAGTTAATTTCTGACTCAATTTGTTTAATTTTTTGCATAAAAAATATATCTAAATTCATAACTTTTTATTATCTTTCATATGACATCAATATTCTAAATATAAAAAATAAACAAATAAATACTACGTAGTATTAATCTGAAATGTTAGCTTAGAATAAAAGAACACAAATTCTAAGCCATCAGTCCATCACTAAGATAAATAGTGTGCACAATAAAAGATGACTCTAAATTGCACAAACTAATAAAATTAATTTTACACTCTTATATAGGTAATATTCATGTCATATGCTCCATATTAGTGCCATGTTACACTACAAAAAAACACGGGATTGACAGAGATTTTGGCATGGATTTGGCACGGATTTTGGCAGGGATACGCCAAATCCGTGCCAAAAACACTTTGGCACGAGCTATTTGGCACGAAAAATTGATAAGTCCGTGCCAAATTCCGTGTCAATCCCGCCTTTTTTTTGTAGTGTTAATTTTATAATTTTTTATACATATTTTATAACAACAGGAGTACAAATAAAAAAGTTATACTCCATCCATCCCAATATTATCTTCATTTTTTCCTTTTTCGTTTGTTCCAAAATAAACATATTTTTCCCTTTTAGTAAAGAATTTGTAATTCATAGCGTTTGTCCCCACTTTCTATCTATTCTCCATAACTTTAAGCCTCACATTTCCCATTCTCATTTCCATAATCCGGGTGCAAAGTCCAAACATGAAATAATATTGAGACAAAAGAGTAACACTTCAAAAAATGAGTGTGAAGATTTATATTTTTTATTTTGTATGTAATATTGGTGTCATATAAAAAGTTGTAAATTTTGATATATATTTTATAACAAACTAAAAACAAATAAAAAAGCTAGAACACTTTAAGAAACAGAAGTTTTTTAATTGCTAAATTACGTTTTCTATTTTATAGAATTAAACATTGGTCTCTCTCTAGGGTTCGGTTTCGGCCGTCTCTAGTGTAGTCTTTGCTTTTCCCGATCTTCTTCGCCGCTCGGCCGCAGCTGCAAGGCAGGGAAGAGGAGAGGAGTTTTGGGTTGCTGGGGTAGGGTCATTTGTTACTTGGCAGTCTTCGAAGGGTTGGTGCGGTATTGGCTTCGATCGGCTACTGCATCGAGAGGTGCGGGTTCGGCAATTCGGTCGGCGGAAGCAAGGTTTTTTTCTTTCTAACTTATGGAGGAGGTGCTGGAACAATACAAAAGGAAGAAAATAATAACAATCTCAACTTTGATGATGAAGAGGAAGATGTTCTTGATCCCGCTGGTAAAGAGACGGAATATCCGGTGGTGGGCGTAATCCTTACGGATCAGAAGGTTAGAATTCAAGCTGTGCAGGACTTGTTTGCCCCAACCTGGAGACCAGGGAAAGGAATGTCAGTACAAGAAATTGATGAAAAGAGGTATTTATTCACTTTTTATCATATAGTTGATATGAATCGTGTTATGGAGGATGGTCCTTGGTTATTTGAGAGGAATTTGTTATTGTTAAAGGCGGTCGGTCCTAATGATATCCCTCATAAGATGAATTTGTTTGAGGCAGAATTTTGGGTGCAAGTGCACAATGTTCCGTATAAATTTGATGAGAGCTATTTTAAGGAAAATGGCATTCATACCTGAGAGTTAGGGTGAAGATGGATGTGAGAAGACCCCTGAAAAAGGGATCTACTTTGACAAACGGGGGGGGGGGGGGGGGGTGAAGGACACTGGGTAGATTTCAAGTATGAGAAATTACTGAATTTTTGTTTCATCTGTGGAATAATGGGACACTCTAGCAGTTTTGCCCTTTGAAATATGTGGAAGATATTGCTCTGGAAAAAACTTTTAATGCCGAACTTAGAGCAGGTGGAGGGGGGTAAGACTGGCCCCACAAGGGGTAGTAAGTGGTTGGTGGATAAACAGGGGGTCCGAGTCATCAAAGGAGGGTTCATCAAGAAGATGAAGGCATTATGAGGCAAGGGCGCAGGGGAATACAGCTGAGACAGAGAATAACGACACAAAGGATGATGATAGAAGCAGTGCAGGGGAGGTCTCAATTGATTAGAAGCGCAGGAGAGTCTGGAAGGATCCGGCACAGGAGGAGAATTCAGGAGAGGAGATGACGCTGGGCAAAGCAAAAAACGGGGAGGAGGCGAGTCTGAGCTCCTAGACCCGCCTGTCGTGTGCGTGAGGTTGTGGCTGAAGAATTTCCACTTTGATGTTTTTTTCTTGTTGTTTTTCATGTTTAGTTCCACATTAAGACTGTTGTTTTTGGTTTTTGTTTTGTTTGATTTTGTAAGACTCTTGCATTAGGTTTGGGTGATGAGAGTTCTGCAGTAACCATTGTTGACTCAATTATGCCCAGTTTAGGATCAATAAGTTATACTGCTTTCTTAAAGGTGGTTAACTCAAAGTCTGGCCAAGGGCAGATGGTTATCGGTGGTACTCTTCTTATTTTAGACCCTTGCTGAATGCTTTTATTCTAATATAAGCCCCCTTCATCCAAAAAATATATTATAGAATTAAACAAAACTTAAGGAAATGTTAAGACTAATAGAGTATTTTAATTTAAAAACAATAAAAGGAGTTCTGTGTGGTATCTAGTACTCCCTATGTCCCGAAAAGGTTGACCAAAATCGACTTTCATGTGGATTAATAAAGTAAAAACTGTGTGGTTGAAACTTGTGCAGAGAAGAGAAAATTAACTTTAGCCACATATTCCTTACTTTAAATGAAAATGACAAATATTTTGGGATATCCAAAAGAGGATATTTGGTCGATCTTTTCGGAAGGGAGTATCTAGTAGCATTGAGTTCGGTGAGCTATGTACTACAAGCGAGTGAGTTCAATACTTCAATTTTAAAAGAGGAAAAAATGGATGCACCTAGGAAGTTTAGTGGTGGGCGAAGGAGATTAGAGATGACAACTGTGACCGATCCGATGGATACCCGCACCGAACTGCCCCGGTCAAAATGGGGAAAACCGCATTGACCGGGTAATGGTTACGGGGCGGGGAATACCCGTTTTGTTTTTACGGGTAACGGGGCGGTTACGGTTTTATGCATGCCCACCCCATTACCCGCCCTGTACCCGGACCGTTTATTTTTAGTTATATTTTTATTACATTCTTATCATTATTTGTCTCACAACTAATAAAAGATGAGATTTTTAATGTTCATTGTGTGTATATATGGATAATAGATGTACTAACTATAGTGTAAGAATGAAAGTTCTCAACAGAACTTAATAGTCTTGTTTGATTATTACTTCATATATGATTTTTTGTGATTAATTACTTTTCAGATTAAGTATTTTTAGATTCAAATTAATTTAGGTTGTCTTATTTCTCCTCTTATAGATATATGAAGATTTAAAGTGGCGTCTGAGTCTAGCGTCGTCTTGGTGATGTCATTTTTCGCCTTTTAAAATATTATTTTTTATTAAAATATCAATGACTCATTTAATAAAGTGATTACTCGCGGTTATAACCGTTACCCGTTGGGGCGGTTATAATTTAGGTAAAAATTACCCGTTGGGTAATGGGGCGGTTATGAGGCAGGGGAATTACCAAACGGGACGGGTACGGTTACATGTAAAACCGTCCCCGATCTACACTTGCCATCCCTAAAGGAGATCCGTTTCATTTTATGCCAAATATCATAATTGTACGGAGCCAAATTTCACCTAGACGGCGGGGTTGTATTGTGTGGGTGAGGGATAGGATAAGATCGAGAAGACAGTGAGTGAATGAGCGTGAAAGGGACGGAAGCATGGCGGCCTCAATTTCATCATCGGCTGCTGCTGCCGCTATGATTATCCATCATCATCGGCTAATACCTTCTTCTTCTTCGTCTTGTTCATTGAGGTGCGCGAAGCTCAAAACAGAGTTTTGGGGGGGAAGGTGCGGCGGCCCCTCATCGATCGATCGAGATGATACCAGAATAAGTTGCTGGTTCAGATTCGGCGGCGGCGGCGGAAAAAGTAGCAGGAGGCAGTCGCGAGACGACTTTGATCGAGATGATGTTGAACAGGTAACTGTACTCCGGATCTGATCGATCGATCGATCCATCATTAAGTAATTCCGATCCGCAACTGATCGATCGATCGATCATTAGCTACCTATTGCATTGTTGTGATCTATTGTTAATTAAATAAATTAGAATGCACTTGTGATGTAATGCCGCAGTACTTCAACTATATGGGCATGCTAGCCGTGGAGGGGTCTTATGACAAGATGGAGGCTCTGTTGAAGCAGGATATCCACCCCGTCGATGTTTTGCTACTTCTGGCTGCTTCAGAGGGAGACCAGCCCAAAGTCCAAGAGCTACTCACAGCCGGCGCCGATTACACCGTCAAAGATGCTGATGGCCGCACCGCGCTTGATAGGGCCGCTGTTCATCAGGATCTCAAACCCTTCATGCTCAATCTTTCACTCCCCAACCCACCTAGTTAACAATGTATGTATCAAATCATAATCAATACATCTTGCATTTCCCTTTATATGCATGCATGATCTCTGTTAGCCACATATCACAATATGTACGTCGCCACAATCTACTACATTATCCCAAACTTCTATGTATTGGGGCATCATGTTTCACATTAAGCACGTGTTTATTTATTTAGTCTACTTTCCCTCCCAACCATATCAGAACAAACCGGTTAGATCAAACTTTAACGGTTGTATAATGTACATATATCATACATTATAGATAGATGGGGCACCTCACCCACATTGAGGATACATGATGGATAGTATGTATGTCCTAGAGACGGTCACTATTTATGTCACGTCCTGGATCTACTCGGACATGTCAACAACCACCGTACAATCCGAATAGTCAACCATAGTCCAACATATTCCGCCGTACAATCCGAAACGAAGGAAGCACGAACCAAGTCTTCCCTCCTAGATCCTCCCGAAGTAACGAGCACTGGTAGCAAGCTCAAATTCTACCTGAAACTGTGAGGTGGCCTCCCCTGCGAAGAAGAGATCAGTACTTTGAAGCATTTGAAAAGTACAATGACAACTATACTTAACATAATCAATGTTTCAAATCCTAAGACCCTCAAATAGAGTGATACCCTGACATAAATGAGAATTCATCTTTTACCCCTTATTATCTTTATAATAAGTTAACTATTAATTTGTCGGCACGCGGGCCCCTAACATTTTATTCCACTCATCGTTCGTACGATACAACCCGTATGTCTCATCAATCATACGGGACTTGTCATCGCTGTCGGAGGCTTTATCGGGCCGTCGGGCCGGTGCCCAACATCCGGCCTAGGGATGGACTGGGCCGGGCCGAACCGGCCCGGAACCGGACCGGCCCGCTACTGTGCGGGCCCGGACCGGGCCCGGTTGGCCGGTTCCGGGCTTTTAGCCCGTGTTGGCGGGTCGGGCGGGCCGGTTCCGGGTCCTATTTTTGTTGAACCGGCCCGGGCGGTTCGGGCCGGGCCCGGTTCATTTTTTTTTTTTTGTTTTTTCAATTTTTTTTCTTTTCCTAGGGTAGGGCTGGGTGTTTTAGGGAGGTTTGGGGCGTGGGGGTGAGGGGGGGGGTAGGGAGATAACAAGAAAGTAAAAAAAAAAAAAACATTGAACCGGGCCCGGCCTGGCCCGGACCCGGTATCAACCCGGGCCGGTTCCGGGCCCATGTAACCCGAAAAAAAGCCCGCCCGGGCCCGACCCGGAACCGGCCCGGCCCTGGTCCATCCCTAATCCGGCCCCTTGACTCATACCCATCATCCCGTAGGAAGGTAAGGTCCATTTGGGGTCTTATGTTTAGTGTTACTGCTGTCGAGAGTCTCGTAAGTTCTTACCTCCATTCTTAGCCTTTTTGTGTTGGGTTTTCTTTCTTCTTGCTTCTTCTGAGCTTGAGCTTTGTGGGAGGTTTTCCTAGAGCTCCTCTCTTTTCTTGGTTGTTCAAATGACGCTTAGAGCAAGGGGATGTATTTTGTCACGCCCCAGACTGGGTGGACACGCTAACAACCGCCGCACAATCTGGTTAAGGCAACCACAGCCTACCTCACTCAAACCATGCAAGGCGTACATAAATACCATTCGCACAAGTACATCCATAAACAATCATAAGTGAAACATTTCAAAATACGCACCAAAAAACAAATAGTCCCTCTGTCCTTTAAAACTATGTCATCTTTCCTTTTTGGGATGTCCCAAATAACTTTGTCACTTTCCCTTTTAATCAATTATTTTGTGATTGTTATCTCTCTCATCTGCACAAACCTCAACCACACAGTTTTTACTTTATTATTCCCCGTGAAGAAGATGTCAGTACTTTGAAGCATTTGAAAAGTACAATGACAACTATACGACATATAATCCATGTTCGAAACACAAGACCCTCAACATAGGGTGATACTAGATTATGGCCACAACCTATAGCTACCCCATTTCAAATCACATGTATAGAATATATATATACCAAGTCAAATAGCCGACCCGTAGGTCCGTTTTTATTTCAAAATAATTCCCCTTGTATAGCCCTTGGCCTATATATACTTGCATATAGCAACCTTTGAGAGGGTTGCACCCCCCATAGTCTATACCTCATTCCATTGAAGGGTTACACGTTTTATCCTTTGTACTCATCCATATTGAACTTACACCCTACGGTTGTATTCATTCGTTTTGGGCTTACACACCAATATAATACCTTTATTCGTTTTGTGCTTACACACCCAACATAATACTTTTATTCGTTTAGGGCTTACACACCCCGAATATAATCTTAATTCGCGTAGGGCTTGCACACCTCAAATATAACCTTTATTCGTGTGGGACTTACACACCCCGGATATGATCTTTATTCGGAACAAGGCACAAACACTTTATATGAACTTTTACTTTGGCAGTTAGCCCACCCTATCAATGCGGACTTTATGGAGATGAACACTTTTCATTTCAGAACAAGGCACAAACAAGATATGGTATATATACATGTTAGTTTTTTTTGTTCAAACTGGAGATTGCAAACATTTTACCTCATTTATTTATCTATTATATGCACCTCACAACTTCTCATCATTGGAGCATATTGTACAAAGTAGAGATTTTATAATTTTGGTTGAGTTTGGATTTTGAGAATCTCTTCCAAAAATGCTTCTCATACCAAAATATGAGTATAATAGACAAAATTAGTCTACTTTCTTTACGATAAGAATCTCAGTAATGGTTAACGGGGAAATGCCTTTGATAAACTAAACTTTTATGGACCTAGTCGTCAACATTAATTATAAACAGATTTAACTCCGACAAAATACACCATAAACAGAGGGAAAACATCACCTAGCCTTCATGCCTAGCTGTTGGTCCCAGATTTCTGTAGACTAACACACAACTAGATGGATATCATCGAATAACAGAGAAGAACGATCTCACAGAATGATTTATGAAATATCGAGAACTTTGGAAATCGTCTTTCTATTATATCGAGAAGAATTTTAGCAACGTAAGGCTAGAGTGTATTAATCGATATCGGAACCTGTACAGAACGCGCATATTTATAGGCGCTGTACAGGTTACCGAATTAGGTAAACCTTGGGATTTGGGCCAAGGCCTTTTTGGGCCTTATTCCCTTTAACCCATTTATTACAAAATGATTACTAATCTAATACCATAAATGGTATATCTAGTCTACTTTATTAAACAAGACATTACAGACAAACTTGACTCACAATAAAAGTTCTAACAATCTCCCCCTTTGTGATCAAGTGCCGTCTTGCTGGATATTTTTACTTCTGAGCTTTGAAGTAGTGTTTGCGTAGGTTCAACGCGTGCTCATAATTTCTGAGTGATCTTCTTCTATCAAGTTGCTTTTCGATGGCCTGTAAGATTTTCTCTATTCGATTTGACTCTAGAAGTTCGGCATCTGATGCATCTGCATACTTCTGTTGTCTTTCTTCAAACACTTTTCTGATTAGCTACAACTTTTCTTTCACTATCTTCAGTGTTCCATCGCAGTACTTGTTTATCTCATCAATAAATAACAAACGCTTCTCACAGCTTTGGTCCATACAGCTTTGGTCTTGTAAGGTTTGTCTTTGGCATGTTTGTTTCAAGAGCCATCTGAAGATCATGGGAGGCAAAGAATTTGAGTTGTCTGACCATAAAGCGCTTGAGTGCCTCGAACCCTTCTTGGGTAATCTTGTCATGATTCTGAGGAATTTCTTGGAAAGCAAGATACATCTGATAGATATCATCCATCTTCAGCATATAGAGATCATTTTCTTTGCATGTGAATTCCGTCCCGTCAGAGCGCTGTAGATGATAGACAGAGAGTTTGATATCTTGAATGTTTGTCTCAGCTACATTGAGTATGGCCCAGACCGAGTCCTTTGCAGTTTGAAGTTCATGTTGCCAGACTTCTCTCTATTTTTCCATGTAATGATGACTTAGCAAGAATAGTTGTCCGCCCTTATTCTTTCCACGCAGGTGATTTAGGCCGCAGATTTTCAACTTGTCCAGTCCCTTGACTCTTTCTTCTCTGCGTCAGATATTCTTCCTGATTTCCTCTTGGAAGGGAGCATTGATATTTATGTTCTCCCAGGGCTTTTCACTTTTGGGCATCTGAGCCGCTGTTTGTCTGATAATTGATTCGAGCTCTTTGGGAGGTTTCTCATAGTCTTCTCCTTCCTTGAGTTCATCTTTTCCCAAGAGAATCACATCAGCATCACAGTTGGCTAGGAGATCTCTGAGGTATGCTCTTCGTTGTGCTTCATCTATATCTGTCCAGAGTTCAGACCATTTGTTGTGCACAAGTATCTCTTCAAGTTCATCGTGCATTTGGTCATTGTAGAAGCCAAAGGAGATCTGTTGCTGGTGTTATGGCGATGATAGCCTGTCAGGTGTAGTATCCGGATCCTGATGAGACTTGTAGAGATCCTCAATTATCTCAACATGATGTTCTTGCGCAGAAACCAGACCTCTATACTTCGTCACATGCGGCCTGTCCTTGCCTGTTTGAGGATAAGTAGCACCGGGATCCTCAGGATTGCCCGTTGTCATCAGTTTCGAACTAGGTTCTAGCTGATGGCCTGAGTAGAAAGATGTACTCGTGGTAGCATCATCAGGACTTCCATTCCGTCCTTGGTCAACATCTATAGGAGATGCGCCTCGGAATGTTTTATGTAGCTCGACCATGCTAGAAAGAGAGGCTAGGGATTTGTGGCTAGCTGAAGTAGTGGGTTGTTGATTGGTTGAAGTGGAGGGTTGGTTTGGCTGTGAGGGTTGGCTAGTAGAAGCAACATGCTCAAGTATCCGTTGACGCTTGTTCTCCCCCTCATGAGAATCTGAATCATCAGGATCCTCATGTGAACGTTTAGCGCCACGAAGACTGTCACGGCATGTGTTCTGAGTATCTAGAGCATGGAGAAGGGCTTTTTGAAGTGGGGTGCGGTTGCCTTCATCCGTCTCTAGGATACGGTCAAAGATCTC